ATACAAAGTTAAAGATTCTGGCCAAGATCCTAGCAGAGCGCTTGCAGGCAGTTGTCACGAGCTTGTTGGGACCCGAGCAGACTTTTGCTGTGAGGGGACGAACAATTTAAAGCAACCTGCATCTGATCTGCATGATCATAGAGGGCTTAGAAGCTGACAAGAAAGTCACGCTAATCAATTTGGATCAGTCCAAGGCATTTGACAGGGTGGACTATCAGTACCTGGCTGCTGTCCTACAGGCTGCGGATTCGCACCCAACTTCTGCAAGTGGTTCAGCCTCCTGTATTGCTCCCCCAGTGCTGTGGTACAGGTGAATGGAAGATAGTTGGGCACTTTTGTGCTGTCTCGGTCGGTTCAACAGGATTGTCCACCATCGCCCTTACTTTATGCTTTGGCGTTGGAGCTGCTTTTTCGCCAGCTGAGGGACAGGGTGTGCAGTCTGGCCCTACGCAGAATCGTTGTTCCCCCTGTTGGAGCTCAAACCGGAGTTTCTGTGTACACCAATGATGTATCAATTTTCATGTCGTGTCACAGACATTAGAGTGCTACAGAAGGTGCTTGAACGATACGAGGTGATGGGGGCCAAATTTAACCATAACAAATCTTCTGGTTAGGTGTCTGGAAGGGGGTTGTACTTCTGGGATACTTTAGTTGACTGATGGACCCGTCCGCATTCTTGGAGTGTGATTGGGCCTGAATTCCAGCTGAAGAAGAATTGGTCAGAGGTACTGGTGAAGGTCGGAGTGTCAGTCAGGACTTGGTTTCAAAGGAGGTTGTCGTTAAAAGGTAGGGCTGAGGAGTGTGCTTCTTACATCTTGCCCCTCATCTTTTACTGCTTCGCTGTACTTCCTCTTTGCAGGGCCGGTGGGAGGAGATCGAGCGTTTGTTGACAAACCTCTTGTGGGGTGGTCGCCTGCATCATGGGGGGCTGGGATTGCCATACCTGGCAAGTCATCGCCACGCCTCTAGGTTGGCTTTCCAACACCATATTTTGATGGAGGACTCAATTCTGGTGCAGAGTGTTAGGGACACCTTCCCTAGCATCACTCCTATTTCTTGGGGTAATCGCCGTCAAGGTTGTGGAATATTGTTGAGTTTCCTCCGTGAGTGTCGGTCGACCTTGAAGGCCTTACCTCAGTCCAATGACCTTTCTTGGCCTCGGAGACTATTGTATCGTGAATTAGTGGAGGGAGATAACAAAGGATCCTCTGTGTGATCAGCTCCACTTGTTGGTGTCAGAGTTGCGCTCTTTTTGGTCTTGGGCGCCAGCTGTGAATTATCTCAGCAACTCTGAATTTTTGATTAGCTGGCAATCGATTTGGAACGTGCTACCTCTCAATGACATACTCTTCAGATGGGGCCAGGCAGATTTACCAGACTGTCACTGGTGTGACCTTGGCTTAGAGGAAATGGCTTTGCACGCATTTTACCATTGTCCTCAGGTGCGCCCTTTCTGGGAGTATGTTGGTGAGTTGACGGCTTCTTCACTCCCGATCACCTTGTGTCCATTAATTTCGCATATGTGTGTGACACTGTGTCGCCTCCGTTCTCCGGGGTAAAATGGATAGTGTTTTTCACGTTGCTAGCCATGGCAAGGATGGTGGTGTGAACATCACAAAATGAAGGAATATTGTGGGATGAATGCTATTCACATCAGGATCTGGATGTTTTCTTTAAGCATCAGCTTAGGGTAAGGGTCAGATCTGATAGAAAGCGTTTGATTTCAGCAAAAAGTGGGTGGCTGAGGTGAGTTTGGTTTGTGTGGACAGGGCTAGCCTTGATTTTCTCTTTTAAGTCCCCTTGATGCAATAGGGCGGTTTCCTGTGAACCCTGCCCCGTTTAAAGTTAGACAATATTATGTTTTCCTGGTTAATGTGAATAAGTGTTGTTCCAGGCATTCTCTTTTGTTATGACTCATGTCAAGATTCCTAACCTCCCCTAGTTTGTTTTTGTCCCCCATTTTTCATCCCAACTGGGTCAGCCTTTGATTTTTCCCCTTTCTGTCATTTATTTTTACCCCTCCCATTCCATTAGTGTGTTTCTTGATTTTGTCTATCAACAGAATACAGCCACCACTATTATTTTGAGGATGGATCCTACTAACATTGTTTTGTTTCAGTTTTATCTTTGTGTTTTACTTTGAGTTTGTTTTCTGGTTTCATCCTCCCACCCTATCATTTAATAAATCATGAAGTGGACAATGAAATGAAATGGAATTTTATGCTATGGGATTTTCTGTAGGTCCCCTGTGAATATGTGGTATTATGGTATATGCAGGATTGAGTGTTGATGGATGAGTTCTTATGGTGAACGGGCAAATTGTAATGAATGAATGGGTTGTGATTCTAATTAACTAGGATAGCTAATGAAGACCAGCTCCTCCCCTTTTCCACTTCAGCCTTCATAAATATTTTCAATGTTTTCTAACCTATTCAACATAAAATTCATTCATTGATCAAGTATAATTCCTCAGAACTGGGGGTAGCTTTGGTTTTCCTTTTAGTAATTGAAAAGGCTCAGGCATTTTGATGATAGGATAAGGATACCCATTTCAAGCCTTTAGGTTAAAAAAAAAAGAAAAGAAAGTAAAACGAAAAAAATATTATGTCAAAAAATGATTGTTATGGGCGTGTTCTTTAGCACATATATCTTTTGTATTATAAATGATTCAAGAAAACAACGAAACTCCAAATGTGAATCAACAAGTATATATTGAAATAACATACAAGAACAAAATATACAATAATTTGTATTCAATGTATAGATTAAGGGAAAAGAAGTTACTTCCCTTTTACCATATTTTGATTTGTAATTGATTGTTTGAAAGAAAGTTCTCTTGACAGAGAAATTTTCAAGAATCAATGTTAGAACAAGTCTGCTGTTAGAATAGATAACACAAGAATACAATTGATCAGAAAGTGTGTTGTGTTAGAGAAATCAACAGAGTCCTGGTTGATTGAACTTGGCCGAGTCACAGAGATATATGTATTACAAAATTCTGTGTCTGTGTGTGCAATTGAAGTCATAGGTTTGTGTTGACAGGCGAAATTTAGTGGACTCTACTGGCAGCTTGTGAAAAGATCCCTCTTTTAAAGTTACAGATAGGCTTCCAGCGAAACCGCGGGAAAAGTTGATTTTGCACTAAAATATGTGATTGGCTAAAATTTGACCAATCGCTAATTTTGTACTAACGAAACAAGTAAGCAAGTTCAAACCCGAAAAATTCAAAGCAACGACTGCGATGGCTAAATTGTCCTATAAAAAAGGCAGACGAATAAAATGTGGGCGTGGAAAAACATAGCAGTCGCTACAATTTAATTAACCGAATGGGTTTTCTTTCAATATCATGCAGCCTAAATATGAAGTATTTTCCCTCAGCAGTCCTTTCGGTAGAGACAGTGAGAAATTTAATTACAACAGTGAGAATCTTGTAAAACTGGCAGGCTGCGGATAACCGGTATAAAGAACTTAAAAGTGGAAAAACAAAAAACAATCAATTTCCGGAAAGATTGCAAAAAAGAGACGTCTAATTTGCTCAGAAACATAAAATAAAAGATAAAAAAAAACCTTAGGGTGGATGGACATAAAATTGCTTGAAAGTTGACATAAAAACAACAAAATAGTAAAAATAATGCCTCTTAAAATGTTAATTAATATCAGTTTTTTTTAAAAAAAATATTTCAAATTAACAGAACGAATTGGCTAGCTTTCATGTTGATTGTCTATCAACATAGAGGTATTTTTTTTTTAACGTTTTGCATCTACCTTTAAAACACTAAACACAATAAGATGGTGTGAATAAAAATTATTTTCATTTGTTTAATGAATTTTTACAAAAAAAAAAAAAAATTTAAAACTACTTACAAATAAAAAAAGTTAAATGGAGTTTCGTAAAGACATTTTTATTTAACTAAGGCAGCTTTTTCTGATTAAGTATCACTTATAATTTGTAAGTTATAAATTACAAGACTTAGAAAGAAAGAAATTATTGAAAATTCAAGTTAAAAAATATTTCAAGAGATTTGATTTGCACATCTATAATCATAAAATATTCAACTAAAGCCCAAATTTGAAAAATTGATACAACTAATTTTATTTACGTTCATTAAAATACCATTCTAAATCAGCTTTTCGGCAATAAAACAGAATAAAAAAAAAATCAGTGACATAACTTATACTGTAGAAATAAAAAAAAAAAAATTACAATGAAAAACTACTAAATTCGATAAAATAAATACTTTAATGAATGTTGTGTACGAATAAACCAAGGTACAATTTTTACGTTTTTGTTTCATCTCTAAATAAATGCTATCGACAATTTTAGAAGTTTAAAAAAATAAGAAGTCCTTGAAAATACACAAGTATATTTATATATAAATACATAAATGAAATGTAATTTATAATTATTTAAATCACGAAATTTTAAATTATAGAAAACCGTTCTTTAACCAAGGAACGAACCAATTTTTACTTTTAACGTCAAATTGAGAGTGATCTCCACTTGGGAAATGGAACTCTTTTGCAGATAACCGGAAGTTCTTCGGGTAAGTAACTAATGTTGTGGAGATTCGATCTTCGAGATCAGTCTCCGGCTGTGTTTTATAAATTATTGAGTATATGAAGTCAAAAAAAGGAAATATATTTCCATTACGAATGCAAGGTGATTTTAGCGTGTTCAACGTTTGTCCATCGTGTAAATAATAATATTAAGTTAAAGCAACAAAAGAACTTCTTTATTTTTAAAGTCATTATTATAAAGCGTGTTCTTTACTACTACTACTTTCTAAATGGCTGCAGCTCCTGTTACTGGAAATGGTTCTGCAATGGACATTCCTAGGTCTTGCAATAATCAGGCACAAGAAAATATTAATCTAATCCAGGATGGGAAACCCCAAGACTGTGCTCCACAAGGAGAGGAAGATCCCATAATAGATATTATAATAAATAATGTAGTGTGTAGCTTCAATACAAGATGTCACTTGAATCTTAAAAAAATTGCGATGGAAGGTCTCCATGTTGAATACAGGAGGGAGAACGGAGTAAGTTGAAGGCTTGTTTTATTTTTTTTATTATATGATTACTGCAGATATCCCTGTTAATAAGGTAAAGTTCCACGCTTCTCTTTTTTACTTCTAAAAAACATACCTGTTTTCTCAGCTTTTGTCTTACTACAATTCACTTTTCTTTTTCAAGTATTCATTTTTAGTTTCAATTAAATTCGTTGCCTTTTTAAAATGTTTTTAAATTGATCCTCTTAAAAAAATGCAACGGTAGAAAACAAAGTAAAAACAAATTTATTAGGCGTCTTAAAATTGTATTCATTTTTGTGTTTTTTACACGTGCGTGGATAGATGCAATTTTTTGGTCATACTCGTTTCATAAAGAAAGAAACTATCTTTTTTTCTTTTATCAATTAACCTTTCTGATTATTCATGTGTCGATTAGTTTTATTATTTGTAGCAGTAAGCTAAATGTTAAACATTAAATAAAATCATTATAGCAGTATATTGATTATTAAATGAATTCATTAAAACTGAAATTATGAAACTTTCATATTTTCAGTTTTCTGAAAGATTTTTTTTATCATATGATAAAAAAAATCTTTAAAAATCCTTGTGCTGAGTTATACCGCAATAATAACTTGAAATTGCGTAACACTCTACACACAATTTTGATTTCTGAAGGGATAAAGTAATTGTTAATGATTAGTTTAATTTTCAGGCTGTTATGAAGACTGAAGAGCCATAAAATATTTGTAAATATAGAAAATAACGTCCATGCCATCCCTATCATTGACTTGACAATCATTTATTTCTATTTCTCGTGATTAAATTTTTTAAAAGTTTTAAAGAAGTTTTTCACACTTCGAAGAATGCCTTTTTTTTTTTTTCCAAAAAAAACTAATTTTCAAATCGTTTGTATAACAAAAGGTTGCATAACCTTACTTCATTTTTACGATTTCAAGTACTGACACGTAAAGAAAGATTAAATTTTTACTGGTCTGCTGCTGCGTTTTTCAGTATTTAATGCTCGAGGAAAAAAAAAAAAAGATTATTTTTTAAATCATCCCGTATGCCGATATCATCAAACTGTAATAATTCCATTGAATATTAAAACCGCACGTCAAATAAGACTAAAAATGGCAATTTTTAAAATTTAATAGACATCATTAAAAATTATTGGATTGTAACAAATATTAAGTCTTAAGTTTGCATTTAAATGATAATCTGTTTTGATTTGAATTTTCTTTGAATTAAACTCATATTCAGTAGAAACTAGATTTTTGATTTAGTAATTGAATTTTGACAATTAACGTCACAAGCTTGTACTTTCAGATCAAGAAAACTTTAATTTTCTGTGAGCTTAATTTATACTACACGTGTACGGTGTAGTAATTTTTATTAATCACATTTTTTTTTTGTTTCGTCTAATCAACTTTAATTATCGCATGATTTATTGGGTATAAAAGTGATAGATACAAGTTATGTTCAACTTGCTGAAGATCAGTAAAACGTGTCAAACTACTTTTTAGTTTTTAGTTTTTAGATTCCGATTTTATGCATCGGAACTCAAATATTATTCAACCAAGGCGATACTGATTTGAAATCTAATTAATCTGAATTAAAACAATTAATTAATTTTAGTTTAAAATATCGCAGAAAAACATTTTTTAAGATGGATTTGAATGTTTTTATGCAGTGTTTAGTTACACATTTCGATAGCTTTTTAGTTTAAGGTTTACCGTTTATGGCATTTTTTTAAGAAAAGGGCATATTACTGTGTAGTGTAAATTAAAAATTTGAATAATGTGAACGCTTATCCAGAAAAAAAAAAATTGAGGGAAATAACTTGAGTAATATTTTATTGAATTTTAGGTACTTTGGCTTTATAGTAGGTACCTCAAAAATTTTCTGAAAAAGCATGATGAAAAAGGCCATAAACTTGATACAGTTTTATTGTCAAAAAAATTGTTTATTATTATTAAGTGGAAAGACCAAAGTATTTATTTTAAAGTTTTTAATTTTTTTTTTTTGTGGTAGAATATCTTTGTAAAAATTTTATTTTTTTGTTACCCTCATTTAATGAGTTTTATGAAATTTTGATAAATTAAAATATTTAAGCAGGACTCCTTGGAGAATTTAACTCCTCAATTTGTTTTTATCAAATGGAAACACCATTTACCGAAAATCTGCTCTGAATCATAAAAATAAAAATGCAATAAAATTATGTAATTATTTAATTAGATTAGCTTTTAATTGCTTTTTAAGGACATGATTATCTTGAGAAAAAATGTTTTTTATTGATGAATAATGAATTTTTACAATTGTTTTAATTTATAAAAATTTAATTATAATAATTTTCTAGGTTTTAAATCTTTTTTAAAATTCTGTATTAATTTCAGCAGTTTTGATATTATTATTTTTAAATGGAAACGCTAAATGCAAATCATCAAATTCCAATATTTTAAAAATAATTTAGAATTGTACAAGTGACCATACATGACATTATCAGAAAATTAGAGCGATGAGTATAGTAAATTTTAAAGCCAAAATTTCAAAAATCTAATACAACATTAGATTATGGATAATATTTTCCTAAATTTTTATTACTGAGTACTTAAAAATTAAATGTAAAAGGCACTCATGTCATTTTATGTTTTAGTCTAGTGTAGAACAACATTAGACCTGTTATGTTAATCATCTCAACATAGCTACTGGCAGTTAAAAAAAAAACACAACTACTGTTGGGTTAAAAAAATGCATTTTGGCAATATTTTAAACTTAAAGTGAATAATATTTGTTTCAAATCAGAGTAATTATACTCTAAATCAGCTAATATTTCTCAAATAAAGTTTCAGAAAAGTACATTTTATGTTTGGAAATTTTTTAAAAATAGATTTTAAATTACATTGTGATGAAAGATGGGCTAAAATGCTAATAAATTATTTTAGCCAAAAAAAATGATTTCCAGTCAATTTAAATTAGTTTCTGAAATACAGCATTTGGAAATATTAAATTTAGTCTTAGCTTGAAATTAAAACTAAAATAAAAGCTTCAAGAAGGATTTTTCCTTTTTAAAAATAAATTTTAAATTTTAGGTATCATTTTTTGTACACACTACTTTAGTCTTACTTACAAACATGCATGCTGACCAATAAATTAAAAAAAATTTTAATTTTTAAATCTGACATTTGATTTTTGCAAAAATTTTTAAATTAATGTGTCTTTCATTGTAAAAATGTTTAAATTCCCATACTAATTTTTGGTCACCTGTTTATGTAAGAAAAAGAAAAAAAATTTCGAAGGGCCTAAACATGGATTAAAAAAAACTATATAATTTAATGATAAAAAAAAAAAACTTTGGTCTTTTCTTTTAATAATAACAGACTTTGACTATAAAACTTTGGGACATTTGTATGTCATGTATGCTCAATTTTCAGTAAATCTTTGGGGGTACCTACGTAAATTATATCTATTTAAAAACCTGAGAATGAATCAGAGAGATATGAGAAATAAGTGTCATTAAACCGGTAAATGTATGATTTTCTCAACATTGACCTTTCTTTATAAAGAAAGCATTTAACATCAGTAGTATAATGAATACATTTTGATACAGATTTTGTTTCTTGCTATAAGTGCTGCTATTTGCCTAACTGATATTTAACTGCACTTTAAAAACTACAGTACAGTTTGGAATAAAGTGACGAGATATCAAACTAACAAAATATCTGATTATAAACCTTTCATTTTTTCATTTTCATCATTAACTTTACTAAACAACATAATATTTTGTTCAAATATTTTCTGCTTTGAATTTTAACTTAAAATTTCATCCTCCTAGAATTTTACATTTCTCAGTAAAGAATTTCCCTCTGTGTATTTTGCAGTCTTTCAAGGAATTTAAATTTTCTTCATTAAGGGAATTCTGTAAAGAACTGAATAAATGATGATCTGAAGGTTGAGTATCTGGTGAATATGGTGGATGAGTGAAAACTTTGTAGCTAAGCTACAAAATTTTGCCTGATTATCAAAGAAATATATGGTCTAGTGCTGCTATTATAGAATCAATCAGTGGTTTCTCCACTATTCATATTAAAGACAATTTTCTATTTCCATCATTATACAGTATCACCATCTATGGATGAATAGTAGTTTTTGGTATGGTTGTTAGTTTGTTTTACTTGCTCCATTATTTTTTCATTCTTTTTTACATATAGGTGAATCAAAGGAAATTTTTTTTTTTTTTTTTGCTCAATGAGCTGAGTGCTGAAAAATGCTTGTTCAGTGGCATGTGCCTAATCTGCATACTGCTTCAGACTATGTAGTAGTAGATTTCTGCTTTTAACATTTCAGCACCATGTCTCACTTAGTGACCCTTGCTTACGACTTTGCCACAATGAAGTGGACCCATGACCAATTCCTATTTTCATTGATTTTAATGTGTTTTTCAAAATATCAGTTGGTTAATACATGTTTCAAAATTTCTTGTGTGAACAATATTTGAAGACTCGACTGTCAGGTATTTCTCCCAGCTTGCTTAATATTTATTTGATGTGTCAAAATATAAGGTCCAAAATGTTTTTGTGTTGTATAGACCACCAGGGGTATATTAATTTTGTGACTAATCTATTAACAAATTTAACCATATGTGTTATAAAAATTGTATGTCTTTGACATATCTTTATTTAGTTACGATCAACCTTGATTTCCCAGTTCTGAAGCAATGTTTAGTGAGAAAGTCCAACATGAAACTTCACAAACAGCTTTTGATACATTCTATTCATTCAACATACAAACTCCATAAATGGCACAAATCTTTTGCATTTCTAAAATAAAATCTCTATATTTCTGAGATGAGGTATTGTAACTATTTATGTTCTTTGGGCTTGTTGTCCTCATATTTGTCATATTCAGGTGATTTGAATTTTGAACTGAACCTTTTATTTTGTCCACTGGTGTAGATTGTTCTAGTTCCACATGCCATGCCTCTTCCAGATTGTCTTGGTAATCTCCCTTAACTCAACTCTCCAAGTTTTTGT